GGTAATACATCAAAGTGTTGTCTATGTGATTACAAAAATCTAAAAAACCCCTAAGAAATAACTGATAGCTTCCTATCTGTCAGCAACTGCTCAGCATCCCTTCCTGTACGGAAAGGTTATACCTTGCTTCCTTAATAATGAGCAAGTACTTTGTTCTAATTGTTAACAGGAAAGAAAATATGACTGTTATACAACTACTGAACAACATCCAAAGTTAAGCTCCTTGTTCTCCTAGGGGCTCCTAATGCCAAGGAAGTAACTTCTGCCGTCATCTCCCAAGAGTAACTCTTCAGACAAGACAATATAGGCCATGCTTAAAAAAAAACTAAACAACCAACCACAAACAACAACACCCACAAAAAAATTCCACATTTTTAAACTGCTGAGTATCTAAACTTTTTTTATCAAAAAAGTTTTAAAGATAATTAAGAAAACCCTCAAACTACTGATTCCTTTCCTTGATTGCAAGATTAATATGAAGAGGAGTTACAAATAGGTGTTATGTCAGTTGAGATTTAATTTCTAAAAATTCAGGAGAAAAACCCCAACACTATGAGGTTCTGTAGCTATTTCCCTAGATTTTATTATGTCACTGCAAATACACTGTCAAGCAATGCTAGTATCAAAAGCAAAACTAACTGTACATTACAAACTGAAAACAAAATCCTTTTGCATTACAAGGAAAACTACATACAATTGTAAATAACAAATGTTCAGAAATAAAAGAACCCCTTCAGTTTTCCACCATTGTTTAGCAACTTTACAACTTGTACCCTTACAAGCACCACCTGGAGGGCTACTTGAAGTAAAAATCATGTAGAGAAATCTAGTCACTGCAGCCATTTTCCCAAAAAATGCACCAGGTAATAGTGTGCACCACAGACCAAGACTACAGACCAAGCCAAATGAGTTGGTTTTATCAAAGGAAAAGATATCCAAGACACCCACCAATTATCAGACTTTCTTTCTTAGAGACGATAATTATCTCTACAATTACATCAGCTACACCAAGCACAAGCAAAGAACCCCACTACTTCACACATTACATTTTCAGAAGGTGCATCTGCTCCCATTTGAGGGGGCTGTTCTAAAGCAGGGAGAATGTCCCTTGCCAAACAGGAAGGGCAATATAAAGTTTAAAAATTCGACAAGTATCAAATCAACCCATAAAGCAAACTGTAACACAAGTCATTTGAAATCTTTTTAGAAAAGAGTCATCCAGTAAACACTGCCCTGTTGACAACCCCCACTGTGCAATTAAAACTCATCAGAAATTATAGTGTTTGGGTATTTTTTAATAAAATTAATATTTTTAAAACACAGGCCACTATCTCACCTTTTCAGTTTAATTTATTCTGCAGTGCACATAACTAAACTACTCTTACATATCCATTCACTTTGTGCCACACAGTAAGAGCATTAGTTTTCTTTGCAGACACCACTTTAAAAATGACTGTTTTCACTAAAAATTCAAACTTTTAAATGTGTTGGTGTTTTTATTAATAAGTTTTGCAACAGTTTAACAGAACGTTTTTTCTAAACAGTTTCTCAAGACTGAGACAGTCCTTTATATAGAATAAGAGGAGTGGTGGGGAATTGAATCGAAATATGTTTTCCACAGAATTTTGTAGATTTCAGCTGTCTCTTTCATGTTGACAGACAACATGAGGAGAAAACACATTAATCATGTTTCATTCGGTTTCAGCAGTGGCTGTTGTGAATTCACAGACAGGACACCTGCACTTAGCAAAATACAACTTCCTTTATATGAGGAAACACCTACACGCCGATTTAATCACACACACACACCCCTCTTCCCCTCCCCAGTCAGGGTCTGCTTGATGGAGGAGGCGAGAGCGAGCGCGTTTTGGGGAAAAAGTAGGGGCTTTCGGACCAAAAGCAGCCCTGATCCGGGATTCTCCAGCAGCAGGAAGTTTCCAAGGGGCCTTGCCGAGCATGCGCCATGAGCTGCTCGGGCTCCCTATGTGGCAAGAGTGCAGAGGCAACAACCAAACGAATAACAGAGACAAGAGATCAAGAGCAACAAGCTCCCTCCCCTCCGTATTCCTGCGGCCGCCTCCACACAGCCCTCCTTCCCTAGGCTGCTCTCTTGGCCCGGGCCCTCCCGCATCCATCGCGGGCAGCTGGAATTAGAGAGTCTGGCAACCAAACCTGCTACTGGAGGGGGAGGAGAGGAGAGCGAGAGCAGCTCGAAGCAAACAGCAGAGTGCATAACCTATCCCTCCACCTCGCACGTCTCAGGTGGCGGCGGGGGAGCAGCAGCGAGCAGCCACAGCTTGTTCCCCCCGCAACTGGAAGAGGGGATGGGGGAGGAGGAAGGGGAAGAAAAGAGGGATGGAGGTGGCACACAATGGCTGTCTGTGTTTGTGGGGAGGAGACGGCCCACAACAGCAGCCGGGGGGGGGGGGGTTCCGGGTTCTTCCGG